ACTGACCCTGCTTAGCTCCTGAGATCTGATGAGATCAAGCTATACTATGCCATTCCAAAGCCTGGCCACTGGACTAGTGTCTTTTAATAGTTTAACCTCTGGTTTTGAGGTCTCTTGGAGAGGACTGGTGTAACAGGGCCCCACCACTACTCTGCCACCCACTGTACTTTTCAATTCTAGCACACAGATGCTGGGTATCTGTAATTCAGGAAAAAAATCCACCTTGCTTTTTGAAATGCAGAATGAATAGTTTACCCAAGAAGTACTGGCTTTAACACATACATTTTGTTTGATTGTAAGTTCTCATATTTTAATTTGGCACAGAGTCATCATTGAACCAATGGAAGGGATCCGGTAGCTGTGAAAGTTATATGCAGAAAAAAAGGAAAACTGCTATGTATATTGTCAACACATTGTGAAATACATTGTTAGTAAATGTTGGCAGTTCCTCCAGGACTGAAAGCCATTTTTTTCTGTTTCCCATCTCCCAACCCCCAAGATAACCTATAATGTTCTTCTTATATGATAGTCCTCTTCTTTGAGCTTATAGTAATTACTCAACAAGAGGACCCTGAATGTAAGAAGACCCCCCTTAAAAATGACACACACACACACAAATTTTCAGACATAACTGTAACTTAGATGGGAATGCAAGATGACCCCCTTTTTTCTTTGATGGAATACGTATGAAAAAACCCTAGCCCTGTGCTTAAGTAAATACTGTATTTCTCAGTTATACCATTTTGTGCACAAGACACTGTTCTTAGACAGTGTCTCAAAAAGAGGGATGATTTCACAGTTCTCATCCTGCACTGTTTCCAACCCCTAAATTCCCACTGCAGCTTTCAATTGCACAAATTGAAGCTGTAAATCTTTATGGTTGCATTGTTCTGTTACTTTTCTGTTCCCATAAAATGTACATTTTTCCCCAACATCCCTTCTCCATCAGTCAATCAGCATACACGTAAATGATCTTCATGGCACACACCAAAACTGCACATCATGCCGTTTAAAAAGTGTATAAAGTACTCGGTTCTATACATCACGACTCGGACCACGGCATAAGAAACACGCGTTTACTCAGTACTTCACACATAAGACAGACAGCAAACAGCCAAGTGGCCAACTATAAAAAGGTAAAGGTTCCCTTGCTCGAAAGCCAGTCAAATCCGACTCTAGGGTTGCGGTGCTCATCTCCGTTTCAAAGCCGAAGAGCAAGCGCTGTCCGAAGACGTTTCCGTGGTCATGTGGCCACGGGACCTCCTCCCCGGACTCGGAGCTCGATGCAGCGCTGGTAGGGGACTCGGGGTTGCTCATACCAAGAAGTCTGGATGGGAAGCGGTGGCCATGACCCCTGTGGCGGCGGTGAGCAGTGTGCCGCTCGATGCCAGCTGGTCACTCATCAGTATCCCACCTTCATCACCACTGTAAAGTACTCGGTTCGATACATCACAACTCGGACCACGATATAAGAAACGCGCATTTACTCAGTACTTCACACATAAGACAAACAGCAACGGCCAAGTGGCCAACTATATACATTGCCAAAAGGGACACCCCTAGTTTCCATTCAAGTGTTTGAATCTCCCGCCAAGGTCTCTATTGGTTCCCCTAGTGGCCTTTAGGAGCCCAGTCCCTATTGTTCTATAGGGATCAAGCTTGGCTCGCCAGGCTACTGCCTGGTGGCGTTTCCAGGACACAACAAACTGTATACCGCAATACAAACAGATCTACCAAATGAACAGTAAAAAGGAGTGAACTGAAGTTTGCATCCTGTGCTAGATCTCTGCTGAGATAAAGGATTTGCACTAGCAGAATGGGGCGTCCTCACCAACACACACAAACTGCGGCTCAATTTGATCCTCAGAATTCTCACTCCCCCAACCCCCCCCCCACAAAAAACAGCATATGGGGAAAAAATGAAATGTCTGCCATGGTGGGGGGGACTGGTAAAATCCCCTTCTTTTGTTGGTGGGAATTTCCATCCCTGATAGATCTGTTGACAAAAGCATAAATAAAGGAAATAAGGGACATTTGTTCACAACTAGTTGAAAGGCACTGGGAACAAAGAACGCGGCCTTCTTCTACAGAGCTGTTTGCTTTTTTCTTTAGGTAATCTTCACTAGAAACTTTCACATCCATAATGACCAGGGTTGCCAGCTCTAAGCTGGGAAATGCCTGGAGATTTTGCGGGTGGAACCTGGGGAGTGCAGGGTATGGGGACGGGAGGGATCTTAACAAGATAATTCAATAGAGTCCCCCCTCCAAAACAGCCATTTTCTCCAGGGGAACTGATCTTGGTTATCTGGAGATCAGTAGTAATAGCAGGAGATCTCCAGGTGCTGCCTGGAGGTTGACAACTGTAATAATAACATGAGACCATCTCTCTCATTCAACAGTTTGCCTGCGGGAAGCAGAACAGCTTTGTTCTTGCAGTAGAGCTTTCCTGAACCGAAGAGACATAATTCTTCAATATTAGTGACTTCCTGGCGGTTATTGACAAGGTGATATGTTTGCAATATTCTTTACTCTGCAATGGGGGGATTTATGTTTATTTCCTTACAGGCCTCTGCCAAAGGAGGGGGGGGGAGCAAATGACTTCACTGGCAAAATTCAGTCTATGGTATGTTCTTGTGTTATATTTCTGTATTTCCCGCATGATGGAAATTAACAAAACCCAACAGCTTTCCTAGCATTTGCAAAAACAGATTGGTGCACAACTGAAGTGACTTGGCCAATTAGCCCCAATCCAGCTAGGTGGTCCCTTTTCTGTCCTTAAACCCAGCAAGACACAGGGAGGGGGAAAATAAACTGCTATTTGTCGAGGACCCTCCAGCTCGGACTAAGATAGTCACACAGGTATTTTCTGGACCAGAATTGGAAGATGTTCTAATTCAGCAGCTGTGCATTTGGCACCAGACACATGACTCTCACCTTAAGAGGCCTCATAAACATCCTTGCGTCTATTAATCTTGCTGCTTAACTTTCCTTTTCTGGTCCAGTATTAACTTGTAACATGTGTCTATCTGTACCTGGAATTGGTTGACCTCTGAAGAAGGCCCCTAAGGGGCGGAAACGCATCGGGTCACTGGTATTGGCCCTTGTGTTCAGGGCACTTGCACTATGTAATGAGGCTTTCATTGGGCCCTTATATGTTTTTAACTGTCTTTCTAATAAATACATACATTTATGTATATAATAAGTTTACACTAGGTTTTTAATATTTGCCCTTTATCAGGCTTTTTCCTGTCCTTAAACCCTCAACAACTCTGTGAGGTACACTAGACAGTGATATAATGGTTTGCGAAGTGAGCTTCAGGACAGAGTATGGATTGGAACGTGTTCACCCCCACATCATCATTTGAACAAATGAAGCTGCCATATACTGACAAGTCAATATTTTCTACTCCGACCAGCAGCACCCCTCCAGGGTCTCAGGCAAAGGTCTTCCCCATCACCTACTACCTGATCTCATTAATTGGAGATGCCGGGGATGGAACCTGGGACCTTCTGCACGCAAAGCAGATGCTTGAGCATTGAACCATGGCCCCTCTAATCACTACTCTGGCTCTCCAGGTGGAAACCTGCTTATCTTTAACCATGTCACAGCCTCATCCTCTGACAGACTGAAATTCCCTCAATATAAGGCCATCCTCCAATCAACAACCATTTCCCCACCCCCACCAGTGAGATACCTCATTAAAGATAACCGGGAAACATACATGAATTCATATTTGGCTGGTATGTTTCTGCACATTTTGCAGTCTCACATGCTGCAAATTTTACTTTGCTCTCTAGTGATCATTACCAATGTATATAAAAACATGAAACTGTAAATGCGTGGGAATGGTGTATGTCTCAGCACACAGTTTGGGAAACACTAGAAAATTCTTCACCACCTGCAATAGATTTGCCATACAAAGCTTCCCTCTTCAGAGGAAAACCGCAACTCACAAAACTGACATATGTTTGAGAAAATATATCAAAAGCAATGTTTTACTGATCACTCTGGATTTGTACACTTCACTGAAGGTATGTTTCTGCACATTTTGCAGTCTCACATGCTGCAAATTTTACTTTGCTCTCTAGTGATCATTACCAATGTATATAAAAAAATGAAACTGTAAATGCGTGGGAATGGTGTGTGTCTCAGCATGCAGTTTGGGAAACACTAGAAAATCCTTTACCACCTGCAATAGATTCGCCATGCAAAGCTTCCCTCTTCAGAGGAAAACCGCAACTCACAAAACTGACATATGTTTGAGAAAATATATCAAAAGCAATGTTTTACTGATCACTCTGGATTTGTACACTGCACTGAACTTGGGAACCGCCGTGACGTATTTTTCAAATAAATAAACAACTACAGTGATCCAACAATCAAAAATAGCCTAAATGCAAGTTTGACACCAGTTGTCCACTGATGGAATGTGAACACTGATGATGGCAACCAGGGCTTTTTTTGTAGAAAAAGCCCAGCAAGAACTCATTAGCATAATGGGCCACACCCAACAGCACAAGCTCACCAGCATATTAGGCCACACACATGATAGCACATCATATTAACATATTAGGCCACACCCCCATGTTGCCAGAAGTGTGGTCATCCAGCCACACCCACCTTTTGCTTCTTATTTTGTTTACCTTGTTGTCAAAACCCAGGGCTTTTTTTGTAGCAGGAACCCTTTGCATGTTAGACCAGACACCCCAGTGTAGCCAATCCTAATGAGTTTCTGCTGTTGGGTGTGGCCTGTTATGCTAATGAGTTCCTGCTGGGTGTGGCCAACTTGGGAGCCAACTGGAACTCCGTTCCTGTGCGTTCCTGCCCAAAAATAGCCCTGATGGCAGCCATTATCATCAAAAGGGACTTAGGCCAGACTTTTTTTGTGTGTGGCACTGCCTTTAGCAGGTGACATCAGACATGGCTTGAAATAATTCCACATCCACTCTGCTCATGTCCCATGAGGACAAATGGGAATTAGTCCCAAAACAAACCCTACCTTGTCCCGAATCCCTTGCCTCACGTTTTCCCTTTCAGCCTCCATCTTGGCGTATTTTGCTTTCCTCTCTTCCTCTTGCTGCCTAAGGGCCTCCTGCCGTTCCTCTTCCTTCTTGGCGGCATCCGGGTCCTTTTCTTCTTCACCACCCAGCATCTTCCCCATGTCTTTGGTCGCCCCTAAGGAAACAGTGTGACAGACATCCCTCGTTAGTAAAAGCAATGGTCAAGAGAGACCTTCTGCAGGGGAACAATCGGACACAATACTGCTCTTGCACATGTATTTATTTATAAATTAAATTTGTAAACCACCCCCACCCCCCCGAGGACACAAGGCTCAGGGCCGCGGACAACAATAAAAACACTCGTAAAATAATAAAACAATGCAAACAATTTGAATGGTACAGAATTGAAACATTTTCACGCGGCACTAAACGTCAGGATGAGTTCCTGCTACAAAAAGAGTCCTGCGTCTCATGGGCAAAGTAGAGAAGAACCAGAGGGGAAGGAGCGCCAGATGAGATGGTACCCATGGTTGTCGTCACCCAAAAGCCTGGCAGGACTGCCTTACAGTCCTTGTGGAATTGCATTAAGTCCAGCAGGGTGCAGATGTTATACGGCAGAGAGTTCCACCAGGCAAGACAACCGAATGTCTTTTGGGCTCAGGATCACCAGTAGGTTGTTTTCTGCGGAGCGTCGTTTCAGTGAGTGGAGTGAAGGATGTGCATGAACACTGTGCACACTCCAGGACACCATGGAAAACATCCACAAAGGAGGAACATCCACAAACCCATGAACACCTGAAGATGCTTTATACTCATACGAACACACAGGAAGCTGCCTTATAGTGAATCAGACCATTGGTCCATCAAGGTCAGCATTGTCTACTCAAACTGGCAGGAGCTTTACAAGGGTCTCAGGCAGAAGTCTTTCACCTATTACTTGACCCTTCTAGCTGGAGAAACCAGGGACTGATTTTTTCCTGGGCAGGCAAGACAGTCCAGTTGCAAATGGCTGCTACTGTATAATAGCAGTAGCCAACCATGTGTGAGGCTGCAGTCTTTTCTCTCCATTTGTGGTGGACACATTCATTTGAGACTCCCTTCATTTCAGCTCTGTCATTAATTGACTGTACCCAGCTATTAAAAATGGATTGATGTACAGGAACAGATAGCCTAATGAGCTGATTATTGTACTCTCCAGAATTTAATATGGCAGAGGCACAATACGTTCAGGGAGAAGGGAGGAATCGCGAAGTAGAAAATCATTAGCCATTCTATTCATTTCCCATCCAAAGCATTTCCCTAAGAAATTACCATAGAGATTGAGTATCCTCAGAGCTTTCATACAGTAGCGATTGTATAACTCTTGAAAGCAGAGTAGATTGATCCTTCAACTTACCGGGAGAGTTCTCATTGGGCCATTAACCTGGAGGGCCACTAAAGAGAGCCAGTTTGATGTAGTGGTTAGGAGCGTGGACTCTAATCTGGGAGAACCACGTTTGATTCCCCACGCCTCCATATGCAGCTGCTGGTGTGACCTTGGGTCAGTTACAAGTTTTTTCAGAGCTGTTCTCTCATGAGCAGTCCTTGAAAGAGCTCTCTCAGCCCCACCTACCTCACAGGGACAATCCTGCACCTACTGAACAGCAGTTAGCTTACTCCCGCATTATCTTCCGCAGTAGACCCCTTCGACTCTGTACGGTTCGCGCTTTCGTTTCGGCGGAGATTAAGCTATTCTTGTCCGCCTTTGCTTTGATCCACATTTGCAAACTAGTAGCTCTCCCTTATTCTCTTGCACAGAAGAAGTGGATAGGGAGAATGCCGCTTGGCTGCCCTTCTTCTTCTTCTTCTTCTTCCCAGGAGCAAGCCAAGCGACACAGGCACACTTGACTCAAACCTGACCAGGGGCAGCACCAATGGCCATTTTAATATCCCAATTCCCCTCCCTGCTTGGAAGCTAGTGTGGTATAATGGATATAGCCTTGGACTCAAGAGCCTTGGGTTCAAGTGGTATCTCACTCGTGAAACCTGCTTGCTGACCAGGGCTGGTTCCAGGTTTTTTTGGGGGGGCCCTGAGCAGACAGTGCCCAGGTGCCTCCACATGCACTCCTTTCCACACCCACCTGCCCATGCATCCTTCTCCTGCTTGCAAGCCCTCCCTCTGCCCATGCTCAGTTGGCTGCACCACTTGCCACTGCCATGAGGAGTGCCACCACTGTGCCTCATCCATGTGCCTTTCCTCAATGACTCTGGACAGTTGGGAGTACAGGTACAGACGGGGCTGGGGGGGTGTATGTGTGGGGGTGGGGTCAGTGGCAGTGAGCCCCACCAGACGTCCAAGGCCTTGGCAGCTGCCCCACCTCAGGGCATGCTGACACTGACCCTCAGGGCATGCTGACCCTTAGGAAACCCCCACCGACATCCTTGCCTTGCTGGGAAGATCCAATCCAGGGATTCTCCAGTTCGCACACGTCATCCTAGTGCTATAACAAGCTCTACAGCAGGTCGACCCAAATAAAAACTGCTGTCGCAAGCCTGTCCTAAGTTTAGCATTTTTATTTTCCCTAGACATTTCCGAGTCAGTGGAAGTACATCAGCTTTATCTCCAGTTAGTTTATCTCCTGTTAGAGCTGCCCCGACTGTAATGAGGTATGCTACTCGGGAAACAGAATTCAGCTATTCGGTGACAGAAGAAAAAAGATAGGCTTATTGCTTCTAAGCGCTGCTTTATAGGCAGTCATTATGCCAGAATGCAGCCTTACCCTGGCTGGTTCTGCGGGTTTAGGCAAGGCGGGAATATTGCGTTCCTTGAAGACAACAGTGGTGCTATTAAAATCAATGAAAGAAGTTGGCTATAGACATTTGTGCGGGTTACTTGGGTTGTGTAGAAAAGTGAAAGAGTCCAGTGGCACCTTAGACTCCCAAAATTTGTGGTTGGGTATGAACTTTTGTGAGTCACCCCTCACTTCTTCACAGGGCTTTTTTTGTAGAAAAAGCCCAGCAGGAACTCATTAGCATAATAGGACACACCCAACAGCAGACACTCATTAGCATATTAGGCCCCACCCCATGCCTTCCCTTGGCTTGCCTGGACACCCCGCAGCTGTGGGGAGCCTGGGCAAGCCCCCTCTTGAAGGGAAGGAAAGTAGTTTAAACGGGACGCCTGGGCAAGCCAACCCTTGGACAGGCCAGGGAAGGCACAGGGAGGCATTTAAATGCTTCCCCAATCCCTCCAGGGGGGCCCCTGGCCCGCCCACCTGGGAGCTGCTCTCCAGGCCTTCCCTCTGTAGCCACGCACGCAGAGGTTTTGGCTGTAGTGGGCGTGGCCAACTCTGAAGCCAGACGGAACTCCGTTCCTGTGTGTTCCTGCCCCAAAATAGCCCTGCTTCTTCAAATACTTTAGAGGCTGCTCACTTTCTTCAGATACCTGGTATCTGAAAAAATGAACAGTGACTCGCAAAAACTGATACCCGACCACTAATTGTGTGAGTCTTTAAAGTGCTAATGAACTCTTACTCTTTTCTACTGCTACAGACAGACTAACATGGCTACCCAATCTTGATCTTTGGGTTATGCATCTGCCAAACCAAAGTTTATATTTACATCAGGGGTTTCCAACCTTTTTGAGCCTGTGGACACTTTTGACACAGCCTGATGGGCAGAGCCACAAAATGGTTGCTGCAGGAGGTGGAGCCAGCTACAAAATGGCTGCCCCAGCTTACCCTCAGTCATGCAGCAGAGTTCCTTGTGCTGTGCTGTCGAAGCAACTCTAAAAAAAAAAATCTGCACAGCCAATCAAATCTCCAGTGGCCAGTCAGAAGCCTTGCTGGGCAAAAGCCCCACTTGCCCCAACCTGCTTTCTAAAAACATATGGCGGGCTCTGGGGAAGGCATTGGCAGGCGCCACAGCACTCACTGGCACCATGTTGGGGACTCCTGATCTACATGTTAGCTCTGTGCCAGATCAGGTGATTGGGGTTAGGCGCATCCTTGAAGTAGAGGGTCCCCAAAGATGCTTCTGGGGTTCCAGTACTCATTAAAGGACCATGACGGTACCAACTGAATTGACATACTCCAGATAAATCCAGCTACTCAGGATGTACTGGGGCAATTCTATCTTTCTCCCCCTGCTGGCATCCTGACCCCACAAATGCAGGAGGACTGTTTCTGGGGATGCTTTGCTGGGCAGTGCAGAGGGTTTCTTATAGCCCCATCAAGACCAGTAATGCAGTGACCCACCAGGCCTGATTTTTGAGACCCCCACTCTACCTTGCCCAGATTTTGGAGTTTTGGCCTACAGTGCATTCCTAAGTAGAGTTACACCCTTCTAAGCCAATTGACTTCAGTAGAGTAAGAAGGGTATTCACATGGAGCTGCCCTGTGCTGAATACATTAGTCCATCAAGGTCAGTATTGTCTACTCTGACTGGCAGTGGCTCTCCAGGGTCTGGGGCTGAGGTCTTCCACATTGCCTGCTACCTGATCCTTCTTGTAGATGCTGGGGATTGAACCCACAACCTTCTGCGTGCCAAGAAAATGCTCTCCCACTGAGCTATGGGCCATCTCTAAACTCTGCTTAGGACTGCACTGCTAGTCTTCTTTCCAAACTGAAACCAAAATGTTATAAATCTTCTAAGACATGTGTGTTCCCATATGTTGTCACTTTGGAGGGTTTGCTCAGTCCGTTTTCACTGCTCCTTTTGGTGATTCCTTTTGTTTCTTTCCCACAGTTTATCTGGACGCACAATTTACATCCATCATACGTGCACATGGGTGGATTGGCCATTATGGGCACTGGGATGCCTCCTGGTAGCCTGGTAGCCTTCCATCCCTTCTGGTCCGGGACAGCCCTGTGGCAGAAAGGTTGCATCTGTCCTGCTCAAGCCTTATGCAGTGTGATGGAGGCGGTGCCTGGCCCACCCAGGCTCTGTCTGGCCCAATGGAGGAGGCAGCTGACCAGTTGGGTAAGCACACTGCTTCTTCCTTCTCCCCCCTTTGGTTGATTGCCATGTCTGGGTTGGGAAATTCCTGGAAATATGGGGGTGGAGCCTGGGGAGGGTGAAGTCTAAGGAGGGGAAGGACTAGGGTTCCCAGACCCCTGCCAGGGCTGGAGGAAGCCCCACTTTTGAGGGTGCTTCCCTGCTGCTGGCCAGCTGGCTGGCAGTGGGGATTCCACCCCA